ACTATCTCCATAGGACTGGGGAGAAACAATGGGAAGAGCAGAAGCATAGGAATCTAAGGCTCAAGAAGACCAAGAGCAGCTGAACCACGAGAAGCAAGGACAACCCAGGACTGATACCAGGGGGTCAGGCAACAGGAATCCATTGTAAACAATGGACTTGTCATCAGATCATACTCTGTGACAATAATAATGGCAGAGATATGTAAGATCTACTGGAGGGCGGTAAGACCAGGAGCATTTTACCTTCTGCCGTGTCTCAGAAGAGATAACAGTGACCTGGAAAGAAGAGAGGGCAGGTTGAAATGACACTTAGTAAACAGACTGGTTAGATTAGGACTTAGGTGAGGTCAGAGGAAAGAGGTGACTGGCGGCGGCAAAGGAAAGGAAGGAGGAGTCGCAGAAGAAAAGCCCAGTGTCAGGGATTTAGTTTTGGGCATGTTATCTTTAGTATTAGACATGTTAATCTTCTCTGTATTACTTCAATTTTAGTATACATGCTGCTGAAGTGAGCACTGGTTTTAGACATCTTGAGTCTCCTGGTGCCTAATGGGCATTCAGTCTCGTGAGGAGACCTATGACATGAGGGAGAAGCTGAGGCACTTTTCTAGACCAAATAACAGCAAATGACACCCTTTGATTACTAGCTTCTGTAAGTGACTTTGTTAGTTACTCCCAGCTCTACATGGGTGGCCTCAGAGCCTATCATTAAGCCCACGTGCTCAACCTTGATCACCAATGTTTGTCCTTCCTGGTGTGGTTTGGTAAAGTGGGTTGTCCTGGGGGTGAGGAGGAATTTGTTTTCTTTATGGAAGACTGTAGCTAGATTGATATTCCCTTAGGATATCTATTCTGCACTGCAGAACGGGGCAGAAGCAGGCTTGTGGAAACACGTAACTCTCAGAGGGTCCAAGGGCAGAAGAAGCCTTCCGCTGCTAAATTCCCCCAATTCCTCCTGCTGTAAGAGTGTGGAGACAAGTCTATGGTGATAAAAATAAGCAAACTGAGAATTAAATTAGCATTAAAAAAAACCTTGATGTTTCAAAATAATTTCTAGATGGTTACAGTATAAAACAGGACCCCAATAGCTCAAGTCTTTGGTTGCCCAGTGTACTAGAAGAAAGTAGGCTCTTTACAGGTGGGAACCTTTCTTTGCTATAATGTGTTTGGAGGACTGAAAATCTATTTAATCTATTTAACAGGTAAGGCTGACCACTCTGAGTGTACATGGAGTGGGGTGAAGAAGGCAGGGAGAGAAGATGTACAAGTAAGTAGAGAATGCCACTAGAACTTAGTCTCAGCTGGACTAGGAAGAAGCCCTAAGCAGCAATGGAAAAGGCAGAAGAAGCCTAGGAACATGAGCCTCGAAGAGCCACAGAAGATGAAGAGAAGCCATGCTACCAAGGGGAAAGGGCCGATGACCAGGGAGCCAGGATCCATCACTGCAGAGGCCCCTTTCTGAATAGAGGGGTGGGGGTGGTGGGGCTTGCCCAGCCCAAGATTCCCCAGACAGAGTCAAAGCACCTCCCCAGAATGGATCACTCTGCATGTACTTAAATCTTCCACTCCCTTCCTCTCCCCATCACATACATGATATTTTAAAATTCAAACATTAAGGAAGAAACATCAAATGTCCATGAACAAGCAGACAGGCATGTGTGTACAGAGAGACAAGTGTGAGGTCCAGGGGTGGTTCTCAAGAGTAGACGGAACAGACCTGATTTCCCGAAGACTATTTAATGAACTCCAGCTAGCACGGCAGGGATAAGGAGTGGACAGCAGTCCTGAAATCCAGACGAGAGCTTCTGGTATTAGGAGAAGATTTTCTAGTCATTAAACTCAGCGGTGGGGACTATTCTTTTGTGACAGCTGAAAACAGATCCCCCTCCTCCCTCCCAACAAACCCTCTATGCCTGGCCGCTAGGCCCTTTTAGCGTGTGATTCAACAGCTGACAGCCAGTGATCTCTTTTCCTGGGTTTCTAAGAGCAGGGCTCGGAGGAACCAAAACTTACCTAATTAGCGGCAGGGCCTATTGTCCGAATACGGTTACCATTCTAGGGAAAAGAAAAGCCTGGTCCCTTCCCAGGAAGTGTGTGAGGGTAAAGGATCACACTGAGAAAAGAAAGAAGAAAAGCATACTAGTCACACTGATGACGGAAAGCCAGATCCATGAGTCAAAAATCTCTCGAGGGCAACACAAAAGCTACAGGAGGTCTGGAAGGGATGCTCATGACTTAGATGGACTGTTTGATCCTGAAACCGCACAACCTCTAAAACAGAAAAAGGCCTACAAGCAGGTACCAACATGTCAGCAAAGTATCTTTGGGTGGCAGACTTAGGGCTTCAGTTCATCCTTCCTGAAAATCTGTACTTTCTAAATTTTGATCCTGGCCAGTCAGGTGAACCTAGGAGCACACGAGGAGGGAGAGGCAGACCTGAGGCAGAGGGAAGAACACAGCGAAGCAGAGGCCTACGGTGGCACAGGGCCGCCCGGCCCGTTCTGCAGGGTTCTGCGGGGACTTGCTGTGCCCCGAGAGGAATGGAGGCTGTCTGAGGGAGCGAGGGGCCAGCGAAAGTGAGGGCGTTTCCAGAAGCAGATTCCTTTACACAGGAAAAGCCTACAAGTCCTCATCCCTCTCCCCCAGGGGCAACTCCCTCGCCCTGGAGGAACAGCGGAGTTAAAAGTACTGTTTCGGAAAGTCTCCCTGGCTCTTTTTACACACGACGAGCCTGGGACCAAATGTGATTACCCAAATGGACACGAATGTAACTGGCAGCTAATAAATGACAGCGTACACACTTTTCCCCCAAAGGTTTTTCTACAGATGAGCATCCAAAACTCACCTTACTATGACCTAGAGACCTACATACTGAAGGGAAAAAGGTAAAATCGCTGCCACTTGTTCCGAAGCTCACTCCCCTTTCGGGGGAAGGGTGTCTGCCCACCTGTGAGGGCACATGCCTGTTTATCAGACAGAACCACCACACAGTGCCAGACTGAGAATCTTCTCTGCCTTTCCATGTCACGTCCAAAAGATTCAAACAACATGGAGCAAACGGTTCATCCAGAAATACTTAATTTGAAATGTAAAAAAATGCATCACTGGCCCTTTCAAATAATTCCAGGTCCCCCCCCCCCCCCCACTTTTAAGATGATACATGTTTCATCGGGTTTCCATTTTAAAAGGCGCGGGCTCTGGACAGACAAGGCAACTTGTCCCAGTTCCTGCACTGGCTTCTCTGAAAGGGAGAAAGGAATGTCGGGGGAAATGGGGGCGAAAGTTTCAGAAGAGAGGAACACTGGCAAGCAGGGCCACCTCTCCTTTTCACCTTAAGTCTTTTCTCTCCCCCCATTCACAGCTTTAGGTCCTTTGTTTGTTTAACAAACCATTACAATCATACCCAGTTCAATGGGGAGGAATGTGAACTCTTTAAGTAGCTGTCCTCGTAATCCACATGTGTGGTCCAGCCTACAGCCCATCGCAGCGGCTTCAATGTGCGGTTCTGTGCTCCCGGCCTCTGGAGGCCAGGCACCTTGCTTACAATGAGCCCAATTTCCCCCGGCCGCATGCTTGCTGCTCCTTCCCAGTAGCCTATAGTGATGTCCCAAGTTTCCTGCTTGCCCAGCGACTGTACTGGCCATCCTGTCCGGGCTTGCCCCATTCAGCTCTCGAGACAGAAACTGCCTGGGGTGGCAGCCACCCCCTACCTGTCTTCGGCCCACAGACTCACCACCGACACTGAGCTGACACATTCAAGAATCTTCCTGGCTATCATGCCCAACCTTCCAACCCAGCCCTCCAACGTCAATCACAGGGTAAACAGAAGACACAATGGCAAGAGTCCCCCTCCCTCGCCTTGCTGGAACTGCTAGTGCCTTTCTCAGTTCGTAGTAGATATATTGGCCATCTTGGGATGGATCTCAATGTCTTGGCCAATATTAGTCAGATTATATTTCAAAGGGAACCAAAATACTACCTGGCAAAACGATATTCTAGGTCAAACTCATAAAGCCCTCCGTCAGCCCTGTTAGATAGAAGGGCTTCTTTATACCCACCTAAGAGAGGAAGAAACTGAGGTTTAGAGACTTACACTCTTTGCCTGTAGGCACTGACAAGATATTGCAAGTAATGTTCTGAACTAAGCAGAGCACCCAGAAGTGTTAGGTTCCCTAATAACATTCTTGATGATAATGACGAGGAGGACCAGAGGCCAAACCCAGGTGGTCTGAGCTAAGCTGAGTGCTCTTCCTCCTCATAACCTCGCAATCCTTCCTAGTTACCCGGTCTGCAGGAGTAGCAGACTTCAGCTTTTACTACAGTATTTTCCAATAAAGCCTCCAAATGTGTGGCTGGATCCCCTGGTGTGACTGGTCTGTGACCAGCATCGTCTTCAAGCTAATCAATTAACATGTTCCACCAAGAGAACTTTTACACATCTCAGGTCCACAAGTTAGAGCAAGGCACCTTTAAAACTTTTGAGCTGACAAGGCGCCTTGTGGAAAACTTCACAGATCTGTCCGTATTACTGGAGGCTATGGGTGGGGGGCAGTAGAGGATATGAAAAGTTGCTGATGGCATCATTTGATTCCCTAAATTGTACAGCTTACTAATGCTTCTCAAAAAACAAAAGGTTAGAAGAATTCTGTTCTAAGGTATTTGGCAATTTGAGGGGAAAATGTATTTATCCTCTACTAGAAACTTTAAAGAAATATATTTATTGTTGAAAGAAGGAGAATGGGAGAGAATCCCAAGCAGGCTCTGCAGCTGCACAGAGCCCAACATGGTGTTCGATCCCACAAACTGTGAGATCGTGACCTGAGCCAAAATCAAGAATCGAATGCTTCACTGACTGAACCACCCAGGCGCCCCTCTGCTAGAACCTTTATGAAGTACCTTGAATCTCCTGCACATACTTGACTGATTTGACTATGTGTTTCCAAGTAACTGTTAACAAACATGCCCAGGTGGAAACATCTGAAGAAGCTTTCACTGGTTCGTACCTACTTGGTGACAGGAAACACCAGCTTCCAGATGGTCATGGAGTCCCCTCAGAGGTTTGTTTGACGATTCAAACCTGTAAAAAGAGATCTTGCACATCTTCAGTGAATGAAGCTAGGAAAGCATTCTCCCCCCGCCCCCCCACGCTGCAGCTTGAGCCTGACTTCAAGAGCACATACACACAACTGACAAATGACAGATTTTTACTACCCTTTCATGCATTTTCATTGACAGATCAATTTTAAATGTGTAGATCCTATAGTAGGATACCTCAACAGGCACACAACCATTAATTTTTAAATATCTCAGATCTACCATATGGCCAAAGTCTTAAACATTTAGCTCATCTGATATATATATATTTTTTAATTTTAATGTTTATTTTTGACACACACACACACACACACACACACACACACACAGAATCTGAAGCAGCCTACAGGCTCTGAGCTGTCAGCCCAGACCCCGATGCAGCGCTCCAACCCACGAACTGTAAGATCATGACCTGAGCTGAAGTTGGACGCTTAACCGACTAAGCTACCCAGGCGCCCCTCATCTGATATATTTTAAAGGTATGATGGAGTTCAAAATGCTGCAACTTATAGGACTTTCAATCTTATATCACCTTGACCAAGAAGATCTTTAAGTATTTATATTACTATTGGATTAGAAAACCCTGGAGCTTTCCCCTACTTTTTGCAAGTAGGGGGAAAAAAAAACAACACATGAAATTGTTTACATAAAATATTCAAAAAAGCACAGAACACACAGAGGAAATGGTATTTTTTTTAAAGCAACAGTATTAGAATACCATAAAACAGGTATGCAAATCTATGCAATAACAGAGCCTGAAACACATTGTGAACTGAAAAAAAGCAATAACCAGGAGGAATTCATTTTCAACACAAGCTTCAAATAAACATATAGATTCACCAGATGTGCAGGGTGAAAAGGCTGAGGCCTCCGAATTGTATACACAATTCGATGGTTACCAAACTTGGCTATGCACTAGAATCGCCAGAGAAATCTTTAAAAATACAGATTCCAAGGCCGCAGCGGAATGTAGCACGGAACGCCGCAACACCACTTTGGCACTGGGAATTGATGTTTTCACCAAGTCCACCAGAGCCGAGGCCATGGCCAGATTTGCACCACTCATCTCTGGGGAGCATTTGGAAGCCAGTATCTCTACTCACCAACCAACGATAAAACTTGGCTTCTTCCAATTTAGGACTATTCCAACCAGTCAATTCTCAAAGGGGGAGAGCTTTCTGGGATTTTCCTAACCAGCACAAAGGTAAATCTATTCTGAAACAAAGCCAATGATATCCCACCTATGTGATTTATTTTCTTGTTCTCTTAATTTGATTTTTTTAAAAAAAATCCATGTTCGTTTATCTTGTAGGAGAACATGCTTTTTAAATTAAAAATGGAAAAATGAAGATCATTCTTAGACAACTAAATTTGAAAAATAACCCATCAGAATTCAGGAAAAAACCAGAGGTGAGTAGGATCTCTGAATCACTCAGATAATTTGTTTTAAATGTATTCCCCACTTTGCATGTATAAACACTTCAACACATCATCTCAAGGCCCATCTCTCTTCTCAAAATACCCACCATTTATCATGGTGATTTAATTGGGTGGTCTCCAAAGGCCTGTATTAAATTTGTTTTAAAGCGCTTTAAAAAACACTGAGGCAAGAGAGTAAAATTCTTCTGGAGGATTCTTCCTTTGCACCTACTCATCTCACCATGGACAATACCAATTTATGAATTCAGAGAGACGAGGGCTCTCTTCTTCCTGAGGAAGGGTGCACATGACATGAGGTACGCAAACCAGGCAGTGGAGTGGCTTAGCTTCATTGTCGAAATATTCAAATGATCACTAAAAGAAAGCGATTCCTTTCTGAATCCAACAATACTCCTTGGCCTCTGAGGGCTCACACAGGAGCTTATTCTTAAGCTGTTCAATGTAAGCAGCACCAGTGAAAGAGGAGAACTCTGGTGGGGAGGAGGCCAAGTTCAACTGCCTCTCCCACCTGCCATCTCAGCACCAGCGAAACATTTAAATAGTTAACAATGCAATGGAGAACTCGAAAGCGCGCATGGCCCTGGGGAAAAATCATGCGTAGTGTGGGATAGTTTAGTAAAGCAGACAAGAGACAGGAAAAATAACACATCTAAGTTTGACAGGATGCTCCTTGCAGACTCCTTTTCAGGTCAGAATTTAGATTTCAAAATCTGAAAAAAGGGTTTTAATCTTTCATATATACATACATATGATATTTCAATATATAATATATAAATATATATTTAAAGTTTATGGTAAAAATGACCCTGTAACGTGAAACACTCCTAAACATACATGTTTCTGGGCTCCAGAGTAACAAGGAAAGTCATGTTTTTCTAGGAATGGGTATCAGCACACGGTAACCAGATTACAGTTCACTGTTTTAAATAAAAGGGAAAATGTTTCTTTGGAAAAGGATCTGTTTATATCTGCTTACTCAGATGTTTCGATGACAAAAAGTAAAATTTCCTGAATACACAGCATATGATTTCTAGAATGCATTTTTGCTGGCGCAGTAGGTCTTTCCAGACGTTTGCCTCAGAGAGCCACACTGAAGAACAGGCCCTTTTCTCTCTGAATGTCCTGGTTTAGCGGCCCGCTGAGCATGCACTGAAACCCCCAGGACACAAAGGGATCCCCTCCACTTTCAGCTCATTCACTTCTGGCTACTCCTGGTTTTTCTCAGGTCAATTCTTCAGACTGACTTTTTTATTTCTAATGATTTAAGTGGGAAAGAACTGGGGAAGCCCCAAACTCTGGGAATTCTGTCTTAGTTTTCAGTGAAAGTCTCCTCTAGACTGAAGATGTGCAAGGTTGGTTTCTGAAAAGCTTTGGAAAAAGGTATGTGTGTGTGTGTGTGCGCGCGCGCGCGTGTTTCCTAAAGACTGTAAGTCCAGATAGAAAGGAGCCCACCCAATATGGGAGATTACAGACAACTAACTCATATGTCACTGAGCTAACAATGAGATTATACCTCTGAAGCAAAGACCCTAAATGGGATATTCATATTCATCTTAAAACAATGAAGTCACTTTAAAGATGACACAGTAGAGTGGTGTTTGAACAGATCTGTGGGCCTGACAGCTGCCTCCCTAACCTTCCTGCACCATCCCTGGGGCACTGCATTCATACCCCAAGGTTTCAACTCCTCCTTGCAGGCAGAGGTCTCCCAAATCTGTCCTTAATCTTGAACTTGCTTTCCAATTCCAGATGAATCTATCTATAACCTCTCAGCCTGGATGTGTCACAGCCCTGAGGGTCACCTGCCCTAAAGCAGGGGCTCCTCCTCTAAGATTACAGGTTTTAGTTACTAGCACCACTCTGTAAAAACATTTACTGGATGCTCAGAAGGTCATGGCCATTAATCACTGATCGTGCTCACAACCACAGGAGCATCTGGTACTGGCCCCACTGTACTTAATGGGGAAACTGAGGCTTAGAAGTTGCACTCATTTGCCTGTGCTCACACGACCAGCAGCGGCGGAGCTGAGACCTGCATCCAGAGCATGTGGCGCGAATGTCCACGTCATCAACAGGTCAGCCTCCTTACTGTGTCGCTTCCCGGCCTCTCCGAAGCCAGAAACTCTGAAGTCATGCTAGAACTTTCTCACTGACTAAGCTATATAGATTCTGCATGCTTACTGTCTCCCAAATCTGTTTCCTTCTCTTAATTTCCATAGTTACCACTGTTTGGGCGATGTTTTGCCTTCATTACAGCCTCCAAATCAGCATGGCGGGACAACTCTGGAATTTTACTTTGTCCTCCCAATAGCTTTTCTTTCTAGCTCATTTAAAACAGGTGGCAGGCTTTGTAATTCCTTGTATTTTAGCCCAGATGACAGCAGAGGCAGTTTGTCTTTGTTACTATCTAAACCCAAAGAGGAGGTTCTGCCCAACTCCTGAGATTGGAGAAACAGAGGGCACAAAAGAGGTTGAGAAAAAGACCCTCTCCCTCCACCCCCACCCCCACCCCCACCCCAGGGCCTATAAAAGAGGAGGAGATCTGTGAGCACCAGCAAGGGGTCCCTTGCACAGCTCTGTTCCCCAGGGCGGTGAGCAGAGAGCCCTGAAGAGTGTGGGGTGTGCTCAGGGAGACCAGACCCAGCGCAAGGTTTCCAGCCCCTGCTCATCGTCCTGATGCAGAGAGCTGCAGAGACCATTGCTATGATACACAAAAGGTCAGAGGCCAATCCCTCACCTACCAGGTGCCATGGTAATCTCCTGGGTTCTAGGACACACCCCACGGGGGAAGGAGAGACACCTAAAAATGACTGAGATGAAATTTCCCTGTAGGTTAGCAGAATGGGGGCTGGAGTCTGAATTAGTTACAGGGAATTAAAAAAAGGAAGACTTCCTGCATACCTGATGTTTGCAGGGAGATTCAGACTTGTGGGATGCCTGTGTAAGGCGTCAAGAATATTTGACTCATACGTATCTGTGCTATCGACTAGCCTCAACTGCTAAAACTGGAGCCAGATTGTTTTTCAAAAAAAAAAAAAAAAAGGCCACCCCCTGTCGCCAAGAGGAGTGTGGTCTCTGCAAAGGCGCTGGTGACCTGGGGGCAGTCCTGTGCTTTAGAATCCTGGGGCGGATAGAGAAAGAAGGAAGGAAGGAAACTCGTGCAGATGTTGAGAGTTTACTCATAAGATTAACTCCTCTGATTCCTATGCAAATACCTAGAAAGGGGGAGGCAGAGAAAGTTGTCTTTAAGGCCTTTATCTTAAACTCTGACTTGCTTAAAAACCAAAGGAAGTAACAATGTCAACCAGGAAGAGGAAAGAGACAGGCCAGTGCTGCTGGTCTCGAGGCACAGGCCACCCCTGCTTCCCAAGCCTGGCTGTGCCTCCCAGGTCAGCAAGTAGGACAGGAGAAGGATGGCTGATTTCCATCAGATGGAAATGAGAGTGTGCAGCAAACTGGGGAGCTTGGGGAGAGGCTGTAAGTTCTTAATGTAACAGATTTGCTGATTCAAAGATGTCGGGGTACTGTGACACCAAATGAAATGTCCAAGAGGGGTTCAGATTCTGAGACCAGTCACACATTCTCAAAGCACATTCCATCCATTTCAGTTCTGTGGCCAAATATCTGAGACCTTCAGAAGAGGCTTCTGAAAGCTTTGACGAGGATTCTAGATAAGCCAAGATATAGCAGCCATCCTTCAGAGATTAGAGTTTTTAGAACAGAAAGCTCTGGCGGAAGAACTTCAAATGAGCAAGAATCAGCAACCAGGGAGCCCATTTTCCTGCCACCCAGGCACCCACTAAGTCTGCCCAAAATGGGGCGCACAGCCCATGGGAAGACGGAACTGGGAGAGGGGGAGCTACCTGGGGAGCAAGTGGTCCGTCACAGAGACAGAGTGTGCCAAGACAGTGCCCCCTCCTGACTTTGGTTATTAGGAAGATGGATATTTCATATTAAATTATACTAAGAAGAGAACTCATAGGAAGGCTGGAAGTTAGGTATCTTGAGCCAGCAGGCAGAGGTTTGGAAAAGCAAAAAGCAAAGCAACTGCAGTGTGGGGCTGCTCTGGCCTCTGCTGACACTTGCTTCCCTTCTCACACCAGAGAGATGAGGCCCAGAAGGGAAGAGAGTAGCAAGTAGTTCATGAACATTCACATGGCATTTCCCCAACCCCCATCACCCAGCGAGGGCAACCACATGTAGGAGACTACTTTACAACTGGTGGTGCCTAAAAACTTGGTAGGAGGGAGGTAGAGAGAGATGCTGGAGAAAGGAGGACTAGCCCATTTTATTGGCCAAAACTCAACTTTCATGTGGCTTCCCTTAAACTTGCTACCAGTCTGGTGACTCAAGAGCGTGAGTCAGCTAGGCCAGTGCAAAGGGACATTTCTGCGTGCTAGAGACCTTGGTCCATTAGGGCTCCTGTTTTCGCAGTGACCCCCTTCATTCTAATCACAATGCCACTGCTACAGTGATTCTTCTAGCATGCAAATACACGACATCACTTGGCTGTTTGGAATTCTTCAAAGGTCGTCAGTTAAAACCAAGAGTCCTGACCAATCAGAACCACTGAGAGTTTTTCATCGGGAAAGCAGTATGCTCGGGCTTCTGTTAGCCAAAGAGACCTCAGACGGCAGAGGTACAGATTATGCTCCTGGATTTATCCATCATATACACTAAAATCAATAATAGTAATTCCCTTGGGGAAAGAAACCCCCAAAACCCAAAAACTGTGCACATAAAGAATAAACGCAATAACTGCATACTGAAGGTGATCCATAAAACCATTCACGGGGAGTTCCAAGTCTTCCCTGAATCAGAACTAATAATACCCTCACAGCACTGTGAGTTAAACACACAGGAAAAATGAGAACCATTTCAGAGAAACAACATAAAATGATGATCATCTTTTTTTTTTTTCTTATTTTTAAATTTTATTTTATAGGGAATTAACATTCCAGGAATGTTGCCTTATTTACCAGTGCTTTAATCATTTGGTTACATTTCTTTGAGGTAGTTGCAGTTATTGCTTTGGAACTTCTTTCAATGTTCTAGATTTCCTTCCTGAAAATCTTTTTTTTTTTTTTTTTTTTAACAAATAGTTTAATGTCAAATTAGTTTCCACATAACACTCAGTGCTCATCCCCACAAGTGTCCTCCTCCATGCCCATCCCCCCCTCCCCCCACATCCATCAGTCCTCAGTTTTTGTCAGCATTCAAGAGTCTCTCATGGTTTGCCTCTCTCCCTTTCCCCCACCATTTCCGCCCTTCTTCTCCCCCTTGTTCCTCCGTCAAGTTCCTCCTAATCCTCCTATACGTGCAAACATATGATATTTGTCCTTCTCTGCCTGACTTATTTCACCAACAGACACATGAAACGATGCTCAGCATCCCTCCTCATCAGGGAAATACAAAACAAAACCACACTGAGATACCACCTCACGCCAGTCAGAGTGGCTAAAATGAACAAATCAGAGAACTCTAGATGCTGGCGAGGATGTGGAGAAACGGGCACCTGCCTACACTGTTGGTGGAAATGTAAACTGGTACAGCCCCTCTGGAAAACAGTGTGGAGGTTCCTCAGGAAACTAACAATAGAACTCCCCTAGGACCCAGCAATAGCACTGCTAGGAATTTACCCAAGGGATACAGAAATGCTGAAGCATAGGAGCACATGGACCCCAATGTTCATAGCAGCACTCTCCACAATAACCAAAACATGGAAAGAGCCTAAGTGTCCATCAACAGATGAATGGATCAAGAAGATGTGGTTTATCTATACCATGGAATACTACATAGCAATGAGAAACAATGAAATCTGGCCATGTGTAGCAACATGGATGGACCTTGAGGGTGTTATGCTGAGCGAAATGATGATCATCTTAATGTGGTTCTAATTTACATGTTGAGTGTGTGTGTGTGTGTGTGTGTGTGTGTGTTTTATGAATTGCTTTTAATTCCTGTGCTCAAAAAGGAAAAAATTAGCTAGGTAAATGCCACATAATGGGCCAATTAAATTATTCCCCCAATAAAGTACACTTTGTTAAGGTATAAACATGTATAACTCCTAGTGCTATTTTAAACACACGATAAACTGTGCTTTACTATTTTTAATAATATTTAATACTATCCTATAGTAAGACCATCCCCCAACTCCCTTCATCTCTAAACTGCCTTCATTTTAGCCTTGTGTTTGTTCAAGGAGTCAGAAAATAAATTTTCATGATAACTCTTAGGTAACTTTTCTTACCTAAAAGTGGTACAATAATATGTTTTACTCCCCGTCCCCCTTATTCTGCTGTGTCAGCAGCACACTCTACTTAACACTAGGGTGTGTTCCTACAGTTAGTTAAAAAACAAAAGTCAACCAAATGATGGTATTCATCTAGATACAACCTAGAAAAATGGTGGGGTATAACGGAAAGACCATTGGCTTTGGAGTCAAATGGCTCCAGGTTTGAAGACTGGCTCTGCTACCTGCCAAGTATGTAATCTTAGGCAAGTTCCCTAACTTCCCTTTATGGCGACATCTATGTACTTTCCAGAACTGTTGTAAGATTACACATTACATATGTACCTACAGAAACACAATGACTCGTACAGAGTCTAAAGTATATGTGCAAAATAGAAGGGGCTTGTTGTAAGTTTTAAGAACGACTTTACATACCGGGTAAATTCACAATTAGGAAACATTAGTAATCTGTTTCAGAATGCAATGTATGTGACAGAAAGAGTATGAATTATTGATTCACTTCCATAATCTTTCCTTAATTTAGATCATCATGACACAATTTCATTTCCTAACATATGCTTGTAAAATAAATTTCTATTATTTCCTGCATGCTACAAAAGTTTTGTATGTCATGTGTATGAAAGATTCCTAAATTCTTAAGCAGTGTGATAGTATTGCTGTGCTTTAAATGGCAATATCATGTTTAACTAGAGAAAACAATTATAATTGGCATGAATTGGTCATACAGGTATCACAAAGTCACCTAAATGATATACATAAGGGATTCTGGAGTTTTTCGATTTTGCTTTTCTTTTTGAATGTGCTGGTGGGGAAGTGGACTGGTTTCAGTTAGAATCATTTGAAGAACAGGAATTTTCACACACACACACACACGCGCGCGCGCGTGCACACACACACACATACACACTTAAGATTCTCTTCACTCTGGCCTTCCACCTCAGACAGCTGTGGATAACCTTCTAGAAGTTAGCCCCAAGAGCAAAATAAATTAGGAAGTGACTTATCTAGTGAGAGCTTTGGGGAAAAAAAAATTCAAGTGTAAGACATAATGTAAGAAAACTTACAAAGAACACTGGAATAAAAAAAATATGGCATAGTACAGTCAAGGACATTTTGCAAAAAAAAAAAAAAAAAGTGTGGACAGAGGCCAAGAATTATGGTTAAACAACACTGTTAGCACTGAAGCTACAAAACAGGGGGTGGGTAGCGTTGGGGGTGGTGGCAATGGGCTCAGACAGAAAATTCATACATGTTATAGGGGGAAAAAACCACTAAAATGTTGGATATGAAATTTAGAGGTTGCTATTTTGAAATAGGTGGTTAGAACATTATTATAATCTCCATATGTATGATGGAGAATGTTAAGAAATAAAAATGTCTGATAAATACTGAGGATCCTGTCAACCATAAATTCTCTCAAACACTGGATTTCGAAGCACACTTATTTCTCAACTTTAGGAATCTGGACAGAATAGATGCAAATTGATAATCACTTCATATTATGGTTTTAAGAGCATGATTTAGAAACTGAACTGTAATAAATGCAACAGATTAAGTATGATTCTACATGAAGGGAACAACACACTAAATTTCCCCTCGGATATATTCACCTGTTTTTAAGATAATTTTAAAACATCTTCTGAAAATGTGAGAGAGGGAGATCACAAATTTCTAGTAAGCAAGTCATGATAAATAAAAAGCAACTGTATAATATCCCTGATTTCTAAATTAATATGAATACCAATGATAGTTCTTAGCATATTCTCTTGATTTTTTTCTAAAGAGTGAAAAATAGGCTTTCATATCCCTCAACTCTATTTTTCCTTCAAAGCCTCAAGTTCCTCAAGTGCAAATTCTCTGAGAGCAAGCATTTTCGGGAACATAACCCCCTCTACTGTGGAAAAAGCAGAAGGCTTTGGTGTGTGCTCTACCATAGGAAAGAACAAGAATACAGACTCACGACTGACCACAGGAGAGCAGACTGGGTAGAAGTCCGAGGGCTTAGCAGAGACATACTTACCTTTTTAAGTCTGAGGTACAGAGAAGTTTTAGATGTGACATGAAACAGAGGCCACATCAGACGTGAGAGCAAGCCTAGAACAGGGCAGGGGGTGGGGAGGAGAGAGGAGAAATCAAAAGGTTAAAAAAAAAAAAAAGCATGGAGAAAAACCACATTGGTACTAAGTAAGTGGACATTTATGTACAGAATATGAGTTCAGGTATGCCCAGATCAAAAACTCTCTTCGTCAACACACCACAGTGCCATTTTCCAGCCTTCCAGAGACACGCCTTTAAGTTCTGACAGGAGTCTAGCTTTCAGAGAGGCAGCGCAGTGATGTGGTTAGGAGCATGAGCTCTGGTGTCAGAGTGTCTAGATTCAAATCTCGTGCCACCGGGGCCACGTAGAAACCTCACGCAATTTGTTTAGTCTCTCTCTGCCTTGGCCTCCTCGTCTGTAATATGAAGACTATAACTGTACCTACAGCGCAAGAGCCTTTTGAAGATAAAATGAGTTAATCTGAATAGTGCTCAACAGTATTGCCTGGTAAGCAAGGAGCAAGCATGTATTTGCAACTATTTTCCAAAGACCTCTGTTCGAGTGAAAATACCTCACAGCCTCAGGCAGAAATCAGACAATAATCAGAACCTTTTAAAAAGTGTCAAACATGAGCACTATCCTTTGGGAAAAGGAAACCAGCCCCTGAGCAGGACAGAGGATGAAGTAGGGAGGAGAGGAGAAGATTCTAAGGAGCAAGATCATTAAAAGGCCCTAAACAAACCCAGGCAAACAAAAACCAAAAACACCAAAAAACAAAACAAAAAAAGCAAAACACAAAAAACAAAACAAACAAAACTCCTTTCCCCCAAAGACAAGGCTGCTGTGAGAAAAGAGCCTCGAAATGCAGAATTTGTTGACAGTAAGCATACCCAATGAAGGTAATTTTAAATCTGTATTTCAGAACAGTCTTTCCTGTAATTCAATCTAATGAATAAGGAGGATGTTTCCCTTTCAATGACTAGATAAGCCAGTATTAGGGCTGCTTTATTTGGTCAGTCTGGATGGACGGGAAGCCATCTAAGAGGGAAGTATCTGGTGTCTTTCTACGAGGAAGTTTGCTTATGGAGATAAACACACACGAGCAAATACAAACACTGAATATGTGTTGATCCCCAAACCTCTTTTGGACGTTTGACTCATGTTAGTTGAAATTATTCTTCTTAGATAGTATAGCACTCTTCAGACTTGAGAAAAGGCTCTTTTATGGAGGATCATGTAGTTGGAGTTCTGTGATTCTATAGACCTAGCAAGAACACAATTCTTAACTGAAATTATTTCCTTGGCCTGTATGTAGTTGTTTCTATCAATGTGGACAAAGATATGCCTCACTGCTAAAATGAAAAAGTGTGGTTTGATTTCCTACATTTCCTTCCACCCTTTACCCCTCCCTACTTTGGTATGATGTCACATGAAATTACTTCCAGAAACAGAGGGTAGAGCAGCCAAGTTATAAACCTAAGTGCTATGCTTACTGCTTTCTTATCTACAAGTTAATACTTATGGGGGCGAGAGTCTATCGATGATCAAGGCCATGGTAATTTTCCTATTTCGTAAGAAATCTGAAATCTCAGCAGAATCCCAAGCTGCTGAGTCCACCGCATTCACATGACCCCTACAAACACTCATTCCTCTACAAGATTCCTACTGCAACTCACGCATTTGCGAACCTGTTTAAACTTCACTCTCACCTTTAATCAAAAACAGACAACCAAATAGATTTCTTTAAAAATAATCTTCGTGGTAAAAACAAAAATATCATGGGGAGTAAAATATTAGCCAGTTACTGTACTTCTGTGCTTACTTACCACCCCTCCTCCCCATTTACTAAAATTTTCCATTACAACTTTAAGATGTTGTTTCCCAAAGAATGTTGACAACTCTTTCCCTCTTAAAGCTGTGGTTTAAAAAGAAATAGGTTTTAACTTGCAAAGAGCTCAGAACTGGGCTTGTTCTAGGGTCCCCGTGAAATCATAGTAGTTGGTCCTTTAGTATCAAAATTTCCCTGAAACTTTTCATTGACAAATGAAGGTGTTTGCTTCCTTTGATAAGGAGTTTATAACACACAGCAGTGGTAAACCTGGTTAAAGAAACTATCAAAGGATAGTTTGTTTTGCATTATTTAACATTACATCATAGAATTAAATCATGTAAAATGGAAGCTTTATCCATCTCAATCACTAAATGTGGTCAAGTGAAACTCTACAAAACTCTAAATTAAAAGCTTTTGCATTGTACTGAAAATATGGAAACCCTGAGATGAGATTTAATTTTAGGAAAGAATATTCGAGAACAGAGCTTAGATTTAAGAAGGACAATGCCATCCACTTTTTTAATGCCTCCTGTTCAGAGACTGATGGACTGCCCAACAAACCTGCCAAATCAAAAAAGTGTTTCATAAAATTCTCCATAAAGCATAGATTTTAAAAAGCTATAGCACCAATCAGGTAACAATAGATCAATCAAGTTTTCCTAAAATGTAGTATTTGCAGTTGAAGCCTGGATAAGTAATTACATTCAAAGTAACGTACAGGGAGCTATCAATCCCCATTCATGCAGCTCGCATTCGCTGAGCCAAGAGCTTTGCTGAGCTTGGAGATATAAAAATGAATCCGACACAGCTGCTTTACTTCCAGCTAAAAGAATACACCTAAACAAAGAGCTACAAGGCAATGTGTTAAGTGCCAGAATAGAGGTGTGCACAAAGGGCTCGGGGCCAAAGGAAGACGCTATAAATTCTTCCTGGGAAATCAAGCAAGTGAGGGGAGACATAAAAGAAGGTATGGTGATGTTTCCCTGTGATAAACTCAAGACTTTTTCCTTACCGTGTTTGTAAAAGTAAGGTAGTAACTTTAGGATTTATGAAATGTGTTAATTGCAAGTCTAATAGTGGTCTATTAGCCAGTTTCATTTATGCTTCGGATGGGCTTTCAGTTACAATATCCAAAGAATATACGTTTTTAAAAATAAAAACACAACTGTCCAGAGCTGCAGGAATGGCCAGCATGAGTAAAATTTAGATACAAAGTTCAAAGATGTTTTGAAGCATGAACGAATGGCATTCTTTACACTTAGTAATATTACATTAATGCTTATTTCAAGCATCGGTTTTTTTCTTCTTCTGAATGCAAAAATAAAAGAATTACTCGATTATATCATGAGTAATATTTGTCTTTCTCTACTTCTGTGTTTAAAATAGAAGGAGGGTGTTGAATCAACTTCTACTTAACATCATTTATTATGCATACCATATTCCTACTTATAACACAGTTGTGACAGAACCTCCATTGTTCATTACACACTAGCCCCAAACTTGAGTAATTCTAATGTAAGCATGAGAAACCACCGTCTCCTTTGGGGTGAATTTCCAAATTCCTCTGTGTTAAATTGAGGTCTAATTTTCCCTGTGCCTGGTTTTCACAAGAAGGTCCCTTCCACCCCATGTGCTCCTTTTCAGCTGTCAATAAACAGAGGCAGTGAATTCCCCCACAGCTTCACAAAGCTAGTTAGGCAGGGCCATTCATTCCTTCAGGAAAACAGGGCATTGATTTCAGCGAGTTCCCAGGGAGCAGCTGCAACAAAGAGATCAAAGGCCCACCTCTCTCTCCCTCCACTGCTTCCATCAGGCCAGGCCCAGACAAACAGCGACAGGTTTCCTTGAGACAAGGAGAGGGCCCGGCAGACCACCTCATGGTTCAATTCAAATTCATCCGTTTCCTACATTCCAGTGACAGTCCAGAATGCTAACCATGACAAACCAGCACAATCACCCGGCATAATATACTGCTCGCTAGTTCATCCAAGGTCAGAGGGAGAAAACAAGCACCGAGGGAAGTCCTCCACTTCTAGGGCCTGCTGAGCCTCAATGGCCCCCTGACATTCCATAAATAAACTTCGCCTGCTCACTCTCCCTTTCTTTTTCCACCCTGCAATCCCACAAGCAATGGTCTCACTTAATCTGCAATTTCTTTCGTGTCACCGTACCCAAACTATTGGGACATTTCATTCTCAACGTAATAGTTCTAATGACGATAGGAGCATGGCTATGTGGGCAGCCCTTCTCAGGTCACACCTAGTAATCTACCACCATAGGGTGAATTTACAGCTGTAATTCCCAGAGCTTCCTTCAAGGCCTGATTTCCAGTGAAGGCCATACAACCTCAAGAGTCCATCTGCGTAAATTCTGTTTGCGAAACAAAAAACGTGAACAGACGTAGAAAGGTTAGCTTTTGACGTGAATGGAGTAATCACCCAAACTGGTAATCCAAACCCCTGATGTGACAGTCTGGGTGTGAATGAGCCCTGTGCAACTTTGTGGGAGTGAGGGGGCGGTGGGGGTGCAGGGGGGAGGCAAGAGGGGCAAGAGGAAGATGGACTGGTTACCTACGTTGAGCAGATTTGATTAAAAGGTTTCTAAAGTCCCCTCTGAATTCTGAGCTGCTTCTTTGACACAACCTTCACGAAAGCCTGCAACAAAGTGCATTTGTTTTATTGTGCTCCATTCCATTTCTGTCACTAATTCCGAGGAAACATGGGAGTGGATGGGTTAAATCTGAAAATTCCTAAACCAAAAAGAAAATAAACAATATTGGAATGAAAGGTATGGAGAACTCATTCCTTGACACAGAACACAACCGTCCCACATGCCCATCTTATGAACTTCAGTATGACCTGGGGAATCCATTCACTGATTATTCATTTGAATGCCAAGGACGCCATTTTGTACAGGGTGCTGAACAGCCCTCCAAGAGAAGACTTTCACTTTCTCTCAAGCTGGGACAGAAATGAGCTTTAGAAAATACAGAAGTCTAAATGGCACAGGAAAGGTAGCTTCCTAGTAGGCACAGTATGACAGTTATATTAGGAACCTCAAAGCTGACTCTGGCACTGATCCACTTTGGGCCTCTCTGTCTTTCTACTCTTCCAAAATGGAGACAGAAATATCTGTCAAGAATTCCATTACAAAGTATTGTGAAATAACCATTCCTCAAAAACAAAGTATCTCATCTAAGAACGCTAGTCTTTTGAGTAGAACTTC